CTGCGGAGTCAAGGTGGAAAACCACTGTCACTTTCTGCATTTTTCATCTTCCACAAGGATAGGGCAGCTCACTGCAGACGAGTTGCATGTGATCCTGTATAGACGTGACAGTAAAGGTTATTAAAAGCAGGCCAGAGGGTGGGGGGAGGGTTGGAGAATCTGTTGCCTGGCTACAGAAGCTCACAACGTCACACCAGCTGTTGCCAAGACTCCTTATCATTGCTGAAAGTAACTGAAGAGGACAGGAGCTTCCGGGCACTTAACCCTGACTCTCCCATAAGAGAAAGCAACAGCAAGAAAATGGGCCAACATTGGCTCATACCTAGACTAGACGCTTTGGAAACCTGAAGTATTCAGCAGTATACTGAGAACACGAGACTTGTGCGTGTATATATTGTCATCTCTTGTGAATATTGTCCTCTGGTTAGATGTTTGTGCTAGACAGCAGACTACACAGCTCTAGATTCCCACAAATATTCAATAGTGTTTCGAAACAATGCCACGTTTTATTGGGGTAAGGGAAGGGAATTAAATTCTGCGGAGACAAATGTTTCAACGAGCAAGTGGTCAGTCTATGGAACAATCTCCCCCAGGCATAAAAATTAGATTGAGTTTCTTTCTTGGGACACCTCAACATTTGGAAAACTGTTTTCTTTGTCCGCAAGATTTTAAAAAAGAAATATGTTGCCTAAATGGTCAGACATTGTAGAGCTCTGAGGTGCAGAGAGATCTGGATGTCCTCATTCATGAATCACAGAAGGTTAGTATGCAGGTACAGCAAGTAATCAGGAAAGCTAATAGAATGTCAGTGTTTATTATGAGGGTAATTTAATACAAAAGTAGGGAGGCTATGCTTCAGTTATACAAGGCGCTGGTTAGTATTATGTACATTATTGGTCACCTTATTTAAGAGAGATTGTAAATGCATTGGATACAATTCAGAGAAGGTTTAATAGACTAATAACTGGAATGGGTGGGTTGTCTTATGAAGAAAGTTTGGATAAACCAGGCTGTATCTGCTGGAGTGTCAAAGCGTAACAGGAGACTTGATTGAAACATATAGGATCCTGAGACATCTTTGCTGGGTGGATGTGGAAAGGGCTTTTACTCTTTTGGGACAATCTAGAACTAAGGTCACTCATTAAAACTAAGGAGTCACCCATTTAAGGCAGAGGGAAGGAGAAATGGATGTCACCTCATTAGTTTCAGATTAGGGGCCAGATTATCAAACTCTGTGGGGTTGGAAGAAAAAGTGTGTTTTTAAAATAAAAAAAGCCCTGCCAAACAACATTGCTGGTTCCCAGGCTCCACCCAACCTCTCCATATCTCAGACACATGTTTTGAGGATGGGCTGCAGCAAGTATTGGATGAAATGAAAGAATCCCTACAGCATGGAAGCAGGCCATTCAGCCCATCAACTCCGTACCCGTCCTCCAAAGAGTATCCCTCCCAGACCCACCACCCTACCCTGAATTTCCCTTTGGCTAACCCACCTAGCCTGCACGTCCCTGGGCACTATTAGCAATTTAGCATGGCCAATCCACCCTGACCTGCGCATCTTTTATCTGTGGGAGGAAAACTATCCAGTGATAGGTAGAACGTGCAAACTCCACACAGACCTGAGGGTGGAATAAAACCTGGGTCCCTAGGGTTGTGAGGCAGCAGTGCTAACCACTGAGCCACCATGCTGCCATGAAGAAACTACATTAGTGCAGGTTAACTGCAGTCTTCCAATTCCCCTCTCAGCATCTGGAAGCAGTTATGGATGGGAGACCAGAGGTCTCAGGAGACAGCATAGTGCTAGGCTATACAGAGGAGGAAACAGTGTTTAGTTCATTCATGGAATATGGGTGTCACGTTTACATGGTCACCATTGGACTTTTTTATTTTTAAATTAAATTCCAGATGTTTTATTTCCCCAAAGTTCACTGTCTGCCATGGTTGGATTATAAACTCATCTCTACAGAATGTGAGCCTGAGGCTCTGGATTACTAGGTCTAGTAAAATTGCCACTAAGCCACAACCTCACCCATGGAAGATTAAGCTGGTCCAAGTAATGGTGACTGGGACAACTATGATCAATTGCTGTAAAAAGCCATCTTGTTCGCTCCTATCTTTGAGAGAAGGAAATCTGCTGTCCTTACCTGGTCTGACCTAAATGTGACTCCAGGTCCTGAGAAAGTGGTTGCTCTCTCTGAAAAGGACAAGCAAGCCACTCACTGAAAACAGGGGTAGGGACCAAATGCTGTCCTTGCCAGTGACACCCACATCCCTGAAAAGAATAAAGGCAAACAAAGTGGAGATAGCAAAAACTGCAGATGCTGGAGTCAGAGATAACACAGTGTGGAGCTGGAGGAACACAGCAGGCCAGGCAGCATCAGAGGAGCAGGAAAGTGTCTCAAACGGGTTTGGCAGCTTCCCTGCGATCAGCAGCAGCCAATGACCACTCCATGAATGAGCTCAGAGGCCCTCAAGGAGTCCATCTCAAACACTGTAGCAGTTCAAGAAGGCTGCTCACCAACATCTATTTCAAGCCCATCGACTCCCATAGCTACCTAGACTACCCCTCCTCTCACCCACCTTCCTGCAAGAATTCGATCCCTGACTCCCAATTCCTCTGCCTCCGCCACGTCTGCTCCCAAGATGGGGCATTCCACTCCTGAACATCCCAGATGTCCTCTTATTTCACGGACCGCAACATGCCCTCTTCAGTATTCAAAAATGCTCTCAACTGCATCTCTTACGTTTCCTGCACCTCTGCCCTCACATCCCCTCCCTGCAACAAAACCAAAGACAGAATCCCCCTTGTCCTCACATATTACCCCACTAACCTCCGTATCCAACATATCATTCTCCACCACTTCCGCCACCTGCAATCCGACCCCACAGCCAAAAATATATTTCCCTCCTCACTCCTATTTGCCTTTCATAGGGACCCCGTTCTGCGCGACTCCCTCGTCCGCTCCACACTCCCCACTATCCCCACAACTCCTGGCACCTTTTCCTGCAACTGCAGGAAGTGTTACACCTGCCCCTGCACCTCCCCCCTCACCTTCATCCAAGGCACCAAACAAACCTTTCACATCAGACAGAGGTTCACCTGCACATCCGTCAATGTGGTCTATTGCATTCGCTGCTCCTGATGTGGCCTCCTCTATATTGCAGAGGCTTGGAGACCGCTTTGCAGAGCACCTGCACTCTGTTTGCGACAAACGACAACACCTCCCAGTCACGAACCATTTCAACTCCCCCTCCGCCCCAGGCAACATGTCCATCCTGGGCCTCCTCCAGTGTCACAATGACGCCACCCGGAAACCGGAGGAGCAGCACCTCATATTCCGCCTTGGGAGCCTACAACACAATGGTCTTAATGTGGATTTTACCAGCTTCAAAATCTCCCCACCCCAGCCTCATCCCACGTCCAACCGTCCCTCTCATCCCCACCTCCTTGACCTGACACAACCTGTTCATCTTGTCTCCCACTTATCCGCTCCTCCCACCTCACTGACCAATCCCCACCACTGCCTACCTGCACTCACCTATCACGATCCCACCTACCTTCCCCAGCCCCACCCCTCCCCTCTCTCTTTATTTCAGAGCTCCCTTCCCCTCCCCCATTTCTGAAGAAGGGTCCTGACCCGAAACGTCAACTTTCCTGCTCCTCTGATGCTGCCTGGCCTGCTGTGTTCCTCCAGCTCCACACTGTGTTATCTCTGACTCCAGCATCAGCAGTTCTTACTTTCTCTGAGCTCACCACCAGCTTTACTGGGGCAATTAGGGATGGGCAAGAAAT